AGGCTTTTTTAAAGATGGAAGCTGTATGCATCATGTTGCTTATTTTCAAAGTTGCATTTTAAAATAAAAGTGTTGTTACCTACTTAGCTTATAGGTTATCTCTACCCTACAAACTGACCTATATAGTATCCTCTTGTAGGTCTTCCATAAAATTGAGAATGTCGCTGATGGGCAATTTTCTAAACTGAGCGAGTCTATAATTATTTGAATTGAATGATCAGTATGACTTTTGGTCAACTAAATGAGTAGCACTTCTACCGCTTCTCATTATCTATCGATTCGACCATTTATTGGCCCTTGACATTTTCAAATGTGCCAAATGTAGCCTAAGATATCCAAAATATCCATGTATGAAGTATGGAATATTTGGTTAAAGTTAGGGTATATCAGAAGATTCTAGGCTAAAGTCAATGCATGTGATGATTTGAGAAAGGGAATAAAAGTTATCACATTGATGATAGAAGCCAAATCTGGAAATGCCATTATAAGGATGTTAGTTCTGTATGGAACAGTTGTTCACTTTTTCTTGATAGCACATAACTATACCCCAGTTTCTTTATGGTTTCATTTATTTCTTAAATTGATGGTTTTGTTATAAGTGCCTTGAATGATTTGGGATGAAGGCTTGATTATTTATGTTTTCTACTGCTGGCAATATTTGTTCAAAACTGTATTTAATTGTCATATTGTTGTTTTTGTTGATAAGTGCGAACTATCCTCTCTTTTTTATGTGTTTGCGCTAAACTTGCATCTTTATATTTATCCCATTTAAAACCTGAACCTGTTTCACTGCTAAAGGGCATTTTCTGTCTGTGTTTTAGACTGTAAAGAGTGCGAGAACTTGTTACTATGAAAGTCGAACAACCAAGGATTCGGGGACTAGTGAGAATTTACCCGAGGTCATCACATCATCTCATGAACTTGCAGTAGCTGATATATGTGCTCATCCAAGGCACAAAAAACAGATGAAACCCCATCAAGTTGAGGGGTTCAATTTTCTACTCAGCAATTTGGTGACTGATAACCCTGGGGGATGCATACTGGCACATGCTCCTGGATCTGGGAAGACTTTTATGATCATAAGTTTCCTGCAAAGTTTCATGGCAAGAGATTCTTCGGCTAGGCCTTTAGTGGTGCTGCCTAGAGGAATACTGTCCACATGGAAGAAAGAGTTTATTCGGTGGCAAGTGGAGGATATCCCACTCTACGATTTCTACTCCGTGAAAGCTGAAAACCGAGCTCAACAGTTGGAAGTTCTCAAGCAATGGTCTGATGAAAGGAGCATTCTGTTTCTAGGGTACAAACAGTTCTCGGTAATCGTGTGTGACCATGATATAAGCGATGCTTCAAGAGCTTGTCAGCACATTTTGTTGAATCGACCGTCCATTCTCATTTTGGATGAGGGTCATACTCCGAGGAACCAAGATACTGACGTTCTGACTTCATTGGAAAAGGTGCAGACGCGTCGCAAGGTGGTGTTGTCTGGTACGCTGTATCAAAACCATGTCAAAGAGGTCTTCAACATACTTAATCTTGTTCGCCCGAAGTTTCTAAAGTTGGAAGAGTCTAAGGCTATCAAGAGGCGAATCTTGAGCAGAGCATCCATTTCCAACAAGAAAACCATAGTAAAGAAGGGCTCGGACAATGACTTCTTTGAGTTGGTGGAGCACACACTGCTGAAAGATGATAATGTCAAAAGAAAGGCCACAGTTATACAAGATCTGAGGGAGATGACAAGGAAAGTTCTTCATTACTACAAGGGAGACTTTCTGGAAGAACTCCCAGGACTCGTGGACTTCACCGTAATCCTGAAGCTTCATCAAAAGCAGAAGAGTGGACTGGGAGCATTGAAGAACTATCGCAGAAAGTTCAAAATAAGCGCGGAAGGCAGTGCATTATATGTGCACCCTCAGTTGATGACTCTCTCCAAAAACACTGTTAAAGAAAGGGTTGAGGTAGGGAAGATTGATACGATTCTTGATAATTTGGATCCACGTGAGGGAGTAAAGGCCAAGTTCTTCCTAAATCTTTTGGCGTTGTGCGAATCGCACGGAGAAAAACTTTTAGTTTTTAGCCAGTACCTATTACCTCTGAAGTTCCTGGAGAGATTGACCATAAAGGTCAAAGGCTATAGCGTTGGAAGGGAAATTTTCATGATCACTGGAGATTCAGATAATGAGGTGCGTGAATCTTCAATGGAACGGTTCAACACATCTGCAGATGCACATGTTTTCTTTGGCTCAATCAAAGCCTGTGGTGAGGGGATATCGCTTGTGGGGGCATCCCGTATCATCATATTGGATGTACACTTGAACCCTTCGGTGACCCGTCAAGCAATAGGCCGTGCATTCCGGCCCGGTCAGCTAAAGAAAGTGTACACATATAGGTTGGTGGCTTCTGGCACACCAGAGGAGGAAGACCACACGACCTGTTTCCGAAAGGAATCTATAGCAAAAATGTGGTTTGAGTGGAATCAATACTACGGCCTTGACGATTATGAGTTGGAGAAGATGGATCCAAAGCAATGCGAGGATGAGTTTCTGGAAACAGAAAGGTTTTCTGATGACATTGTTGCTCTCTACAAAAGGTAAAAGGCAAGGAATAGACCGGTTAATTTAGCAATGGATTCACATTTTTTGGGCTTTATTGTGTTGCCAGATAAGTGACAATGTGCAGTAATTTGACTGATCATAGATAGCTTGGTTTAAGTTAGGTCCTTCTAACCTTTTGTAGTCTATCGCGTATGTATTAAAGTATGAACAATCAAGTCTCAGGTTAAAATGACTACTTTTGAATGAGGGACTCAGTGCTGAACTGTTGATATCTTGAAATAGCTGATTGATTGAGCTATACAAAGAGTTTAATGATGTCTGGTTTTACCCAAAAATGGGATTCTGTGTATATACATGACATACAAATCAAGAATCAAAGAACTGAGCTCTATTAGGGTACTAGCTCTGAACTGTGAAATGTGCCACTCCCTATTACAGTATATACATGACATACAAATCAAGAATCAAAGAACTGAGCTCTATTAGGGTACTAGCTCTGAACTGTGAAATGTGCCACTCCCTATTACAGTAAGTATCGCAAGGACATCTGTAATATGTGTGGGTATATGAATCATAATTCTTATCAACCAATGGGAAAAACAGGTTTGGGACTGAGGAAGTTGCACTCCCGGACTACCTCAGTCCCTTCGGGTGAAACTATGGGTGGACCGGGCCCGGGTCGGGCTCCAGGCCGGGCTGGGGCGGGCTACGGTCCTGAATATTCAGGCCCGGTACCGGCCCAGGTTTGTATTGGGACCGGTCCAGGTCGGGACTCAATTTTTTATTATTACATTTTTTGGTGTTTTCAAATTAATTCCCCCCAAACCGTCCAGCCCCACGCACCTAGAGGCCAGCCCAATGAGAAAAAAAATAGTAATTGGGCCCGGCCGGGCCGGGTCATCATTTAGCAAGCCCGTAGCCTGCCACATTAATGCCCCGGTTTGGGCCCCAGTCCTGGTCCAGGCCGACCAGGTCGGGCTCTGTCCAGCACAGTAAGGGCCGTGTCCTGGGTCAGGCCAAACCGGCCCAGTCCACCCCTAGGTGAAACCCCAAACTGTGGACACCTAATTGGCTAATTTTATGATAGAGCTTGAATGCTACCAACGCACCCTACAAATCAAATCATATTTGTGAATCGCCTCAGAAAAGTACCCAATGGGCCAATGATATCCTTGCAGCAAGCAGTGCATATATACCATATTTCAAGCCTAAATCTAAAAAAATTACGGAGTATGTAACAGAGTAGAGATAACCGTGCAACGAATTGAAAGCACACAAAAACATAAGAAGCGAAGCAATATGAAAAATTTTGTGTGCGGAAAAATGCCAAGGAGAAAGGTATGAGTCTATGAGACAACACTCACTTCTTTATAAACTATACTCCCTCTTTTCCACCATAAAACTTGACCAACTTGCCCCTAAAAACATGACATATTGGACTGTCACGTGAAATAAGACAGTAAAAGTTGTACTGATGATATATGTGTAGATAAAAAAAAAAGATACACCGTATAATGTTAATCATAAATTAATTGACAAAAAAAATTGGGCAGTTAAATAACAAAGTTGAAAGAATTAATGGCTTGTGGTGTACTCCCTCCGTCCCGCAAAATATTTCCCAATTTCATTTTTGGGCTGTCCCAAAAAGTAGTTCACATTCATTTACCTTTTTTCTTACTCAACCACAACCATACATTTCCACTTTATTCCCACTTTCTTAAACTCCGATCCAAGTCAATGCGGGAACTATTTTATGGGACAGAGGGAGTAGTAAATAAGAACAGTCTTTGAGGGGATAGTTGTATACTGACTTGCGATAGAGTTACGTTTAGTGTTCACTTGTAAAAAATTAGTTACTTTAGGGAAGTAACAATTATTGTACATGTCAGTAAGAATATTTTTACTTGGACTGTAATCTATCCCAGATCATGCCAGACCAGGCCAGCCAGCAAATTCCAGTCAAAGTAAAAACATCCTAAGCCTTCAATGTTTATCATTTATGTTTAAGCGGTGCATTGAGTCTAGTGTTTACCAGTCATTTGCCTTGTTGAGGCGTGCATGCATGTAATTGAAAATCTTGTTAGATAGATTACGAGATATTGGGGTGCAGTTTTTGTGCTTATTTTTCCCCTTATGGCGTAGAGTAGTTATTTGAAAATGCCCAAAAATATATACCAATTGGAACGCTCCTTGCTATTCGGGGCGTTTCAATTATGTCCCGTAAATGTATTTGTTGCTGGACAACCAAACACCGTGTTTGGTGGACATAGTAGCGGTTAAGACTTGGTACCATTCCGGTGTTGGACATAGTATCTTTATCCAATCAACGACCAAGTTTAGTGAAAAACTTAGGAGAGCTTTTAGCCTTTTCAATTCATATAGACTGCGTATTCATGTAAACTAACTCATTTTAACTAAAAAAAAAAAAAAACTAAATAACTAAATAGAACTAGATCAAATTTTATAAAAACTGTATTAGAAAATACATCTTATTGAGTCATCTCGTTTCAAGGATTGGCATTAGAGAAATGGTCTTAAATAAGACCACAACTTCACTCAAATACACCGAATAGGAGCACCTACTTTTAAACTCCTAAAAAAGACTTTATTTTCCATACCTTCCAATTTTACCCCTACACTTATCTGCCGAAAAACTCCAAGGCCCAACTAACTCCAACTCTTCCAGCAATACGGCCAATACCTTCCATAGATCTGGAAGATGAGCGTGGTGCAAATCGGGAAGAAGATGGAAGCGGTGCACGGTGACTCAGGGACGTTTTGATGGTTGTATGGCGTCAGCGCCGGTGGACGGTGTCACGGCGCCACGACATCAGTGTCGTCGGTGGACGCGACAGAAATCACTCCTCCTCGTACTGCTCTTTTCCTTCTCTTCCACCTTGTTCCTCTCTATTCCGCCGATCCGGTTCCTTCTAGATCAGATTTGGGATAGAGCGTCACTGCCCCACATTTTCTCTCACTTCTACTTCTTTGTCGCTGCTCTTTTTTCTTCCGTCTTTTTTGTTTGTTCTCTGTTCATTTTTTGGCATCAATTTGGTCGCTGCTCTTGTTTTGTGTTTTGTCTTGCTGCTTAATATTCTTTTTTCAAATTTCCTTTACCAAATTGTAATTTTGTTTTGTTTATTTTTAATGTGCATTAATTTACGTAGTATTTTGTTTGTTTGTTCGCTGTTCATGTTAAATTGTCCCTATTTTGCATTTTTAGTTGAGAAGAGTTTTGGGGCAGCTTACTTAAATTGCATGAGCAAGTGGGCTGATTATGTATGTACTCAATTAATCGTGTGATTTTATTGTAACATTGATATTATGCTAATGTTGTCATTGAGCCCACATGCTGGAAAAGAATTTTGGCATTTGTCCAAATTCCACAATGTTCTTCTATGGGTTTTATGCTATGACTTCAGAAAGCAAGTCATCAATGGAGAAAAAGTTTGCAGGTTTTAGGAGTTTTGGATGGTCTGACTCGGAAATAATCACTATGTTTCAGAAGCAACCTTTTTATTTCATGAATGGACTAGGATGCAAGATGGATTTCTTGTCCAGGCGATCTGTTTTTACCTATGGTTTGGAAAAAAGGGGTAATGCCCAGGGATGCTGTCCTGGATATTTTGAAGGAGAAGAAGCTGTTTGTGAAAACCGTATGTGTTTATACTCTTTTGGGCTTAACAGAATCAAAGTTCGAGGAGTTTCTGTTGCCATATAAAGATTTAGTGACGGATCTGTGTGAATCATACTATCTACATGACAAGGACCATCCAGTAGCACCACACTTCAATATGGTGATGTTTGTTAGCTGGTTATTGTTATTTTGGTTAGTTAGTTAGTTCGAGTAGCACCACACTTCGATCAATATGGTGATGTTTGTTAGCTGGTTATTGTTTGGTGAAAACTGTATGTGTTCGTTCATACATGACTGTTAGCCGGTTATTGTCATTTTGGTTACTGACTTGGAGTAACATTATTATTATTATTATTATTATTATTATTATTATTATTATTATTATTATTATTATTATTATTATTATTAAGAGATTTGATGCTAATATTGTCATTATTTTTAATTAATGATATTTAATGTTGCTTTTAATTGTGTGCCTCTTTTATACTATTCTTATTATTTTTAAATAATGAAATTATAATATGTTATCATATAATGACATTTTATATGACGTTGTTATAGAATGACATTGTATATTACATTGTCATATAATAACATTGTAATTACATTGTTATAGAATGACATTGTATATAACATTGTCATACAATGATATTGTAATTACATTGTTATAGAATGACAATGTAATATAATGCATTTTCGGTAAAGATATTGTAATTCTTACTACAATAACCTATTAACAATGTCATCTTTATATATTCATATAATGTCATTGTCCTAACATTGTTAAGAATAAGTTATTGACACTATTATTGACATTGTGATTATTATAATGTCATTTTATGTCATTGATACTCATATTGTCATTATATGACATTTTCCTTAACAATGACATTATATGACATTGACATTTCGACATTTTCTTTAACAATGACATTTTAAATAATCATTTTCTTTAACATTGCGACATTTTTTACCTTGTAACATGCATTATATCACAATGTAATATAATGTCATTGTTAAAAAATCAGTGTCATTATATCACAATGTAATATAATGACATTGTTTGAAAATTAATGTCATTATTTAAAATTCAATGTCATTGTTAAAAATCAATGTTGTTACATGACAATGTAAAATATTTCATTGTTAAAACTCAATGTCATTATAAGACAATATAGCAATGTCATTGTCATTATTTGACATTGGTATATATTGACATTGTAACATTTTTCTACACTGTTATTTGTACACCTTTTTTATATACAAATAAAGGTGTAGAAAAATGTTACAATGTCAATGTATACCAATGTCATTATTTGACATTGGTATATATTGACATTGTATATTTGACATATTACCCAATGTCAATATGTACTTTTGTACATTGTCAATATATACCCACATGTGCATCGTGCACATTATTTTATGCACATAGCTTTTCTTTTTTGACTTGCTATTTTGTACTCCGTATTTGTTTTACTCAATAATATTACGTAGTAATTTTTAAACAATGACATCATAAAAAAACAATGACATCATAAAAAACAATGAGATCATTGCATTGTCATATAATGACATTGTGTATTACATTCTCATATAATGAAATTATAATACATTGTTAGCAATATTTTTCTATATAAATAATGTCACTTTCATAACATTGACGTTATTTTTAACAATGTCATTTTTGTAGAATTGATAATATCACGACAGTCATTAACATCAATTTTGACATTGTCATTATTACAATGTCATTTTTCATAGCATTGACATTGTTATTGTCATTTTATGACATTGTAACATTTTTCGATATTCTTATAATTTTCCAAAATTGTAAATCTGCTAAAATCACATAACAATGTCGCAATATTTTAATGTCATAAAAAACAATGTCAATTCATGAAAATGTTACAATATTAATATCACAATGTCACATAACAATATCATAATGTCATCACACAATGTCATAATATCACAATGTTATCACACAATGTCACAATATTTTAATGTGTTTTGATAGTGTATCAAATTCTTCAAAACTAGCTGAAAAGTAATAAAAAGCTAACAAGAACTACAGAGGTATCATGATTTTCCCCTACTATCACCCGTTGAACATTAATTAATAACAATTCAGCGATTCAAGTTGGATTTTCAGCTCCAGTCTGATTTATTTTGAAATTGAACATGGTCAACAAATTTGTGTGCGGAAGATTTAGCAAAACAGAGAAAAGAAAGTCCGAAACAAACAAAGTAACGGAAGCTACGGATTGGAGAAGGGGCTGCAGATAAGTCTTTGTCCGTCCAGGTGCAAATAAGTCTTATTTAGGGTTAAAAAAGTAGGAGCTCTTATCGGCATACGAAGCCCATGTTTTACTCCTATTGGAGTCTTTTTCCCTTGGCATTATAAGATGAGGTAGCTGCTTGTAGTCTCCGTTCGGCCCCAACAATTTTTCCAGTACATATATATATGTACAATATGCATTAAAAAAGGGCAGCCCACTGCTCTTATCAATTTTTTACTCTTGTCATTTTTTTTGACAAGAGGCTCCTTAACGTGGAACCAATAAACATAAGTTAAAAAATTTATGTTAACATATTAGCTTTTGTCTCTGAAATAATTCGCTTAAGCTCCGGCCCCTTAACCTAGGATGGGAGTATGTTAGTTTGCGGTTTGAAGCCAATAATTTGTTAAGATTCAATTCATTCTTTTCTCCATGTTTCTTTCTTCCTTTTCTTACTCCTGTTCTCGTTTCATTCTCTCTCTCTCTATCATCGTACACTTCTTCCCTCCTTTCAATGCCATTCCTAACTCCCTACACTTCTTACTATATCATGGTACTCAAGTCTTGCGAATGTGAGATTTTGGGCCGATTTGAGGTGAGAAAGTAAGCTTGAACATAAAGAGGATCATTTAATGATTCTCGAGGACCCGATTTCAAATGTAAAATCGAGGGCCCACATTAATATAAAAAATCAAAAAACAATTTCAATCTAAATACTTATACTCAAATTAATTGAATACTCATTAAATAATGTAATATCAAAAATTCTAAAAGTTACTTATACGGAGTACATGATTTAAAAAGTTACTTTTTACTCAAGCAATTTGAGTAAAAGAATCTACTAAAAATGATGGATCTGTATTTTCTTCCTTACTAATTGTATGTTACTGATTAGTATTAATATATAATATTACTATATAATACTAAAAAAGTTTGAAAATTTTGGGACCGCATTAATCGAGGAGCCATGTTCTATACTTCTATATAACATGTTGAACTTCCTTAAAAACGTCTCTCAACAAACTACAAAATGGACTAGTTTATACTAAAACTTATACTCGTAATGTCACTCAATATGATTTTAATTCTTTGGCCTATGATGATTTTAAGCCTTTCATCACATAATCATTTAAAAATGCGCAAATTGCATGAATTTTGACCCTCATGCTATAAGTCGGAGGCTATAACTTAAACTAATTAAGATGGATCTGAGACTCATCACTCATGTATCTATTTCAAGGGTATACAATCATAGAGGAAAAGGTAGTCCGGGTGATGTGATAACCGTGAAGTACGTACAACATAGGAAAGTTGGTGGGATAAGGGTCAGTTTGGTCCTCGAAGTTGCAAAAAAGGGGTCAAATAAGTCCTTATATAGAAGATTTTGTCCGGACGTGCCATTTGAGGTGGCTCCTGGTGGAATTTTTTGATTAAATTTTTTGAGAATCTTACTCATTAAGTCTAGTTTACTCATACCAAATTTCAGATAAAAATTCAATCGGGAAGACATTCAAATGAATTCTTGAAGATAACTGTGCCGTTAAAAGCGCAGTTATCTTCAAGAATTCATTTGAATGTCTCCCCGATTGAATTTTTAGCTGAAATTTGGTATGCGTATATTAGACTTAATGAATAAGATGCTCAAAAAATTTAATCAAAAAATTCTACCGGGAGCCACCTCAAATGGCACGTCCGGACAAAATCTTCTATATAAGGACTTATTTGATCCCTTTTTTGCAACTTCGAGGACCAAACTGACCGTTTACTCGAAAGTTGGTAAATGCCATAAGCTTTTGAACAGTGTTCTTTCTTGAACATTACTTTTTGTTCATCATTTATATTTCGTTCCTCCTACCTGAAGAAACCCGGCGCACAACATTTTAAGTAAAGGCACTTTGGAATTTCTATGATATATGTTGAACATTTTTCCTGTTCAAGTAGTTTGTAAAACGTTAGGGAGTTTTCCCTATCCTTAGAAATGCAAGTAGTTTTCCTTCTCTTTAATTTTTCTTGTCATTGCTTTTATAATATGTGTAACAAAACTCCCTTTTATAATATGGATGGCAATCATGACATGTAAGGCTCCACGATGAGACCCGAATACCCAATCACTCGGAAAAAAGACCCGAGATGTTTTTACTTGGACTGTAATCTATTCCAAACCAGATCATATCAAACCAAACCAAACAGATCAGACCAAACTAAACAGATCAGACCAAACTTGGATAGTTATAAAAATACAAAAAGACCAGACATTACCAGACCAGAACAGACCAATTCAGACAAAACCATATCAGACCAACAAATTACAGTCTAAGTAAAAACATCTCCGGTCCTACTAAGGTGCCACCGCTCACCTCCACACTAACTTGCGGATCTTCCACCAACCTCTCTATCCAACCTCTTTACCCACTGAATATCCAGCTTCCCTCTGCTTCTCCCCGATGGCAATCTTGCCTTCAAGTTCAGCCCACATACTCCTTTCTACGCCGCTTTATTTCATGGTAAAGCGGCATAGAGCTCCGGCAGCACCTACGAGGTGAAGAAAGGAGAAAGTCACTCGCCCTTTCTTCCTCTGGAATGATAAAACTTTTCTTTCCCCGTTGGCTCAAAGTAATACATGGGAGCAATAGGTTGGTGTAAGGGTAAAATGGATAATTGAAATAATTTCATTTATTTAAATTTAATTAGGTGTCTTGATTAGTTAGTTGATAGCTATAAATAGAATTACCCTTTTTTCCGATGTCATTGGAAGCGTCTTGGAACCCCTGGGCCCTGGCTTGCCCAGTTAGCGTCTCCACGCACAAAAGCTAATGAAGGAGCTTGGTGGCAGTGAAGCCCAAATGGATGAAATTAATTACTCCAAAAACCTTAGTGGGTGTGAAACCATGTTTGGTGGACATTGTAGCTTTATAGCAGAGTTTTTAGCCTTTTTAATTCATGCAAAATAACTTCTTTTAGCCGTTTAGTGTTTTGTAATATTCTACAGAGTATTATATTAACTGAGGTGGAAAAGAAAATGCTAAATAAATACTAGATCAAATATTACAAAAAAACTGTATTAGAAAATACATATGATCCTGCCATCTCGTTTCAAATGAGCTGTGTATCAAAAGTGTTCCGGTACTCAGAGTGAG